GTGCAGAAGGTTTAATTAGTTTTAGGTTTAATTAATACTTCCTGATTGGGAATGTGGGCCCAAGGCAGCTGTTTTTTGGGTAGGAAGTTAAGAAGCAGTGGCTGCATCAGTCCTAGGCAAGGCGTCAGGGGTTCAGCAGCTGTGTGAAGCTCAGGTGTGCTGTGTGTGAGGTGATGACACAGTTTATCCATTCTCTGAGTGCAGTGGAGCTGCCCTCCTGCAGCACCCCAGCTCCTGTTCTAGGCTCTGGGTGCTGTGCAGCCTCCAGACATCCTGCAGTGTCCCAGTGTCCTACTGGGGCTGCTGTGATGTGTGGCTGGCTGCCTGCAGGAGGGGAGCAGTACTGGCAGGGTTGGAGCCCCTCTTTGGGGGCTCCATCCTCACTGGGACGAGGGATGGTGTCTGATCACATGCTGCCACCAGGCACATCACACCACCTGGGAGATCAGTGCAAAGGGACTCCAACAACTCCAGCTTGACTTGAAACAGTGCCCAGTTGTAACCAGGGTCTTCAGAGAAGCTGTGTGACTGGGGGGACACTGGTGGGAGGTGTTGGTCATCTTTGTGCTGACAGAGGCAGAACAGGCTGTCACAGTTCTGATCTTCAAGAGTTACTGACCTCCATGCCTGCTTCTGCAGCCATTGCCTTGATGACCACAGCAGTCATTTCCACGTGTGACCACGGTGTCGTGGCAAAGATCAAGAGAGTGATCATGGAGAGAGACACGTATCCCCGGAAGTGGGGGCTGGGTCCCAAGGTGAGTGCTGCTGTGGGCCTGGGGTCAGTCCCTGCACAGTGGTGGGAGCCCAGCCACTGGGATGTGGGGCTCTGGGACCCTTGGGCAGAGTGGTGCCAGTTTCTTCTATAGGGCCTTGCTGTAATTCTGCTGTGGTCTCCTGGATCTATAATGGTGGCAATTCCCAGTGGAATTCCTAGTGCCAGGGCTGTGGCAGCCCAGTGCTGGTGGGAGTGAGGCTTTCCCTCCCAAAAGAGCCTGGGAGCCATTGCTGGTGTCCAGGCATGGGCTCTTCAGATCTGTACAGCAGCAGCCCTCCTGGTAAAGAGCCAAATGATGTGAAGTGGATGGCATTAGCACTCTGTGCAGAGATGACCTTCATCCATCACCCCATGCTGATGGCTCTGCAGGAGCTAGGCAGGAGCTTCTTTTCCTTCTGGTGCAACACTGCTTAAATGCACATTGTCTGTGAGACACTAAACTGTGCCTGAAGGAGAGGAGCAGTGGGAACACCCAGTGTTGGGTTCCTCTCCCACATCAGCCATGTGGTAGTAGCTTAACTGCAGCCAGGCTGGCCTGATGCAGGTTGGACTCAGAACTCTGTCAAGTTGCTCATCCCATTCCTGGATCTGAACCCTCAGTGGCTCATCCCATTCCCATGGTTCAGGTGAAAGCTTTGGGGCTGCTGATGCATCTGTCTCATGGCGAGGGTGTAGTAATATAGAATAGTTCAAGCATTTTGGAATCCTTTGCAAAACCTCACAAGCAAGTAGTCCAGCTCAAATGCTGCAGGTCATTAAGCTGGAAAAACCCAGTCAAAGATCCAGGCTCCATAATGTGCAGTTGTGTTACTGTGACTGTTGCTGTGACTCCCCCATCAAATTAGCCATTATTTACTATTAAAGATGCCTCTTGTCTGAGGTTTAGGCTTCTGCGCAGGAGATGTTTTGTCTTACATGTTTAAAAGTCCTTGGAACAGTGGTAATTAGATGGTGCTGCAGTTGTTGGCTTGGCTTGTTGCTGGATTCCCTCCTCTCAGCTTGAGGGAGGATTTTTCCTACCTGGGGCTGTAGTTGACTTGTTGCACTTTGCTTTCAGGCCAGTCAGAAGAAGATGATGATCCAGAAGGGTCTGCTGGACAAGCATGGAAAGCCCAATGAGAGCACACCAGAGTCCTGGAAGATGGAATATGTGGATTACAGGTCGGTACTGGGTGTGTCACTCCCACATGGTTATTCAGAGGGTGCAAGGGCTGGGCTGGATGCTGCTATTTGTGCATGGATCATGTCAGGCTTGGCCCACGGCTGTCTGGACCTGTGGGATGCAATTGGATTTCTTGAAGTGTGTTGCTGTTGGGCAGTGTGGGAAGGAAAGGCCCTGAGCAGACAGTTATCCCTTTTTAGCCTGCAGTGGTTTTAGAGGGAGTCAGTCTGCTAAATTAAACAGGGGAGGCCGTGCTGTTGCCCAGCCCAGCTGGCCCTGGTGCAGGCTGCAGGTCTCCCCTACACCAGCTTCCCCCCCCAGCTCCTGGGTGGGTTACAGAGCCCTTGTGAGGGGACAGGGATTTGTCCCAGTCCAGAGCAGCACAAGGCAACAACTGTCCTGTGCAACCTTTGGGATATTTTCTTTCAGGGATACTTCCAGGAAAGAAGCAGCTGCTGATCACCAAGCTGTTTCAGAGGTGGACAGGGCTGCAAAAGTGAGTATCTGCCAGTGCTCTCTGGCTTTTACTTTATGCCCCTGTTATTCCCATTAAGTGCACGTACCTTGCACCTTCATTTTGGTCCAATGATGATTTTTAGTCCAGGGTTTTCGTGCTGTTTGTGAAGCACAAAGTCAGTGCCCATTCACAGTTCCTTGCTGGGCCTCCAGCAATTTCCCACCACCCAGGGCACGATTTGCAGCTCAGACACCAAGCTACTGGCCCTGGGCATATTCTTTAACACAGCACAAGGAAATATATTGTATGGAGCCACAACAGAGTTTTGTTGTGCTGGAGAACCTTTTTGGAGACTACAGAGAGCTGCAGAAATGTCCATGCAAGAGTTGCACCTAAAATTCCCTAACTCAGGGTTTTTGCATGCCCTGGGAAAAGTGCAGCAAGTGTTTTAAACTAATATTTGGGATACAGGAAACACTGAAAAATACAGGGGGCAGTTCTGGCAGGAGCAAATCCTAGACAGTGTATGCTGGAGAGTCTGCAAGTCAGCCTGTTGTTAAATGCAGTTGTATTGAATCAGGCAACCAGTTTTCCCCTCACCTGAGCTCTGCTGGAGGGTGTTGGTATGTCTGACAATGTGTTCCCCCAACAGCGAAAGCGAGACTCCGAGAGTGAGAACGAGGAGGCTGTGACCCCACCATCCCCTGCCACCCCACCACCAGAGGAGCTGAGCAAAAAGGAAAAGAAAAAGAGGAAGAAGGAGAAGAAGGCTAAAGAGGCAGCTGAGAGTGGGGGAGAACAAATTGAGAGGGTATGTAATTGGGTACTGCCGTGGTCTGGTCCCAACATGGTAGAGATTGCTGTGTGTCCCTAATTACCTCCATTAATGCATGAGCAGCCTGCAGTATGTGTCCACAGAGTGCCAGGCTTTCCCCAGCAGAGGAGAATGTTTTAGAGGTGCATTTTGAACTGAACTGGTGGTTGGAGATAGGGCAGTTGGTGGGTCCCTGTCCACCTCTGTGCCATGGGGAGTCTGCACTGCTTCTGGGCTGGAGCTGTTCCTGCTGAAATGGGCACTGGGGGAATCCTTTTGATGGCTTCCTGACCTTTCCAACATCTCCACAGGCCAGTGAGACCAGCACCAAGAAGAAGAAGAAGAAGAAACAAAAGGAGGTAGAAGAGAGCTCAGACTAAGCAGCTGGGTCTGTGTGAAGCAGGCAAACCTCATCAGTGAGGAGGGAGGAGTCTTAGGCCTTGAGAAGAGGAGAACTGGCTGCATGGCAGAGGAGCCAGCAAGTTCCAAGTTCTTTTCTGCTGTTCATATGAGTGAGTGGGTGTTTGCCCTGCTCAGGTGCCCCTCTTCATCCTGTTTTAAGGGTTGCCAGGGGAGCAGGGTGCCTCACTGTCCCTGTACTGGACTGATCTCAAAAGCTGAGCACCATGATGCCAACAGAAATGGTATCTTCAGGGAAACTAACTTCTGGCTCTTCCTTGGTCTCTGTTTCCACCTAGAGAGGGTGGAATAATCTTTCCCTTCATATACTGCCTCTTTCTTCCTTTTCTCCGAAGGCTGAAGCTGTTACCTGACAGTTAAAGAATGTGTTGCTTCCTGGAGGAGTGGCTTTGTCACAGCCTGTGTGACTGGGTTTCTCTGGGGACAGTCAGATCAGACTTAGGATCAAATCCTTATTTCTGAAGGACTATGTTTTAACTGAACACATGCTTGGCTTCACCTTCAGTTAAATGAGACTAGTCCACTCAGATTGTTTTTCACTCCTATTTTTACCTTTATCATGAAAGGATTAGAAAATTTAATTCCTCCTTTCTGCTTATAGCACAAGGATGTGCTTGTTCATTGTGTGCTGATTCCCAAGCCCAGAGGCCTCAGTGACCTAGGCAGTGTGTCCCTTTGCTGACTCTCTGCTCTTCTCTGCCCCTTTGCTGTACTGCAAAGCTTTTGGCTGCCTTGCCTGGTTCTGGTGTCCTGTGTGCTCCGAAGGCTGGAGGGCAGAAAGTGACCAGGGGGTGGCTGACCAAGATGTTCTTCATGCTGCTGGGACTGGAGTTCTGAGGAAAATCTTGGTCAGAGGCAGCTCTGCCAAGGGACATGGGGTATGGGCTTGAACAGTTTCAGAAGAATTTGTTGCTAACCTATTTGAGATTAATTGCTGGGGGCAGAAGGCCTCTCCTCTGTCACAGGGGTAATGCTCAGCCAGGATTTAGTTCCTTTTAATGAGGAAGGCCCCTGGGCTGTTTTTACCCTTGTGCATTAGTCTTAACGGTCTATCCTCTCCTCCAGTGCTGGATATGCAGGCAGTGGGGACAGCAGCTGGTGGGTGTTACAACCTGAGCATGAAAAAAAAAGTTCCATTTTTATTTCCTCTTTTTTTACAAAAATAAATAAAACTTCTGGTTTTGAACTGGTGATTTTCTTGCTCCTCTGGCTCCTCCCAAAAGGTCAGTGGCATTCATGGGGCAGGGGGGCAGATTTTACCACATACCCAACCTCTGCTCCTCCTGAAGACGCTGCTGGGGCAGAGAAGTGGTCATGTTGATGAGCCTTTGTTAGTGCCCAGCCTGAGAGGTAAAACACCAGCCATGGCAATGTTTCAGCACACATTTATTGCTGCTCATTGTTTCCCTGCAGTAGATCAGAACAAAGGTCCCTATTGCACATAGATTTTTATTTTTGGCATCCTTAAAAAAAAAAAAAAATTGCACAAGACTGGTAAACCACATTCTCCTTGCCCCCTTAGCTGAATGGACACACAAGATTTCTCACCTACATGGTGGATGTGGTGATACTTCCCAGACACGGTGTGGGGCTTGTGAGTCAGTACAAATCCTGGGGTGAGCATGGCTTTCATGTTTGCATACAGTGTGAGAGACACCCTAGACTAGAAAACATGCCTGGATGATCTTTGTAGACACTTTTCTACTGCATGCAACAGACAGTTGTGGCTGGATGTAATTTACCCATTGAAGAGTCCCTCTGGAGTTTGGTCTGTGGGACTGGCTCAGCTGCTGCCCAGTTTCTCTGGCCAGGCAGTAACAATCCAAGCTGCATGGTGAGAATGCCAATACAGTGAGTTTTTACACCTATGGCTGCACAAGGTCAATGAGAAAACTCCAACCTGGGAACATGGGGTGAGGCCTGCCTGGGGGTGCTCCATGCCACATTCATCATCTTCCCCATTTGTGAGGAAACCCTTGGATGGAGGAGCTCTGGTGTGCTCTGGGAGAAGCCTCCTAAGACCTGGGCTTCCTTGAAGCCTCATGGACTCCAGGAAGGGATTTGAGTTGTGTGCATTCCTGCCAGGCCAGGAGCCATCTGCCTGGAAAAGCCCCCGTTCTGCCACTTCCCTTGGGACTGCTGCAGGGAAGATCAGCTGGGTGCTACAGCAGGACTGTGCTTCCCCTTGCCCGGGGAGGGCAGGGCGCTGTGCTCTGAGCTAACCTGGGCTCTGCTGTAGCCCCTGCCCTGCCCTGCAGTGCCACAGGAGCTGGCTCATCCCCAGGCAGCTGTGTCCTGTGTTTGTCCCTCAGGAGAGGAGCTGTGGGCACCCTGTGAGTGTGTGAACCGAGACCGTCCGTGAGCAGCAGGAGGGGAGCTGTGCTGGGCTGTGGGGCAGGGACGTCAGGAGGTGTTTCCCAGTGGCTGCAGGATGGTTGATGGGAAGCAGCTGGGCACAGGTGCCCTCTCAGTAGACCCAGGAGACAGGCACCCACTGTGGAGAGCTGCAGGCCTGCTCAAAGGCTTCCTGCAGCAGCTGCAGGCTCTCCTCCACGCCGTTGTTGACCAGGGACAGGTCAAAGTAGTGTGCGTAGCGGCTCCGGATGCTCTCCGAGTCCTTGCGGAGCTGCTGCAGAGCCTCTGACTGCAAGGGACAGCACAGTGCTCAGGGGAGAACTTCAAAGCACACCCCAACCAGGAAACACCCTCCCAACACCAACACAGCTCCAGTGGTTGTGCAGTATCAGAGCAGAGAGAATCCTTAGGGCTTGTCTGACGGGCCAGGAGCTGTTGTGTGATCTCTGGGCTTGTGTCTGGGGCTTTTGCTGGACTTTGTGGGGTGCTGGGAGCATCAGGTTACCTAGAGTGAGGCCAGGCCTGCTGGCTCTCTATTTACCTCTACAGTGCTCTGTGGCAGCTCCCAGGGAAAAGGTTCACGTGCAGCAGGCTGCTCAGTGCTCTGGTGGGCACTGTCAGCAGCTCCAGGCCTCAGCTGGGCTGGAGGTGGGATCCCTGCGGGATGCTCCCTTCCCACTAGCTGACCCGAACAGCACCAGCTGGCAGAGCTTCACCAGCCTCTCCAGTGGTTTTCACTGGGGTTTTGGTAAAAGCAAAGCTGCCTGTTCCCTCCTGCCCAGCTTGTAGGGACAGCCCAGGGGTGCACCCCTGGGCAGCTCTGCCCCTGGCATTCAGGTCCAGACCATTTCTATATATTTCCCTAATGGAGCTTGAAAGACAGGCAGCTTCTGTGCCTGGGGAGGAGTGACAGCTTGGGGTGCAGTGCTCACTGAGCTCTGCTCTATGTAGATATTAATAGACCTAAATGGGTATTATTAGATTATATTAATTATCATATCTATTATAGAATTATACCCATTATTAACAGATGAAATAGACCTAAAAATATATTAATAGACCCAAATCAGACCAGTCTTTGTATCCTTCCCTTCTTTTTTGTTAGATCACCTGGTATCACAATACTGATATTTTTAGTGGTCAGCACTAAAAACATATTACAGATGGCAGAGTAGTATTTGTAATACCACACCCTCCCTCGGGGCACAGCAAGCTTCTGTCTTTAAGGTGTTCAGTTCAACACTGACAAATTTTAAATACAATTATTACCTTAAGAGACCAAAAAAAAAAAAAAAAAAGATACTACTTAGCTACCTTAATTTTCAAAGAGTTACTGAAAATACTCATCTATTCTTGTAAAATTAATTTTTCCTGTATTGTGGATGAAGCCAGCAGCAGTCGGGGGCAGAGAGGGGAGGGAGGGCAAGCAGCAGCTTTTGGTGATGTGAGCTCTGCAGGGTCACATTAACTCTGCCGCATCCCTCTCCTCAGTGAGCCGAGCTGCAGGATTATATTTAGTGCCTGGCAGCAGGGCTGGCCCTGCCCACTGCAGCAGGATGTGATTCCTCTCTGGATGGGTGACAGAGTGGCCCTTTCTGCTCTGAGATCTGTCCCCTTTTCCTCTCCCCATGCTGCTGCATCAGGCAGTCAATATTCCTCTAAATACCTGCACAACACTTGCTCTGAAGGTTGCATAAATAGTGTCTCTGCAAACTATCTGTAGCTCAAGCTTTACAAACAATAGGTTGGAAGAAGTGGCCTTGTGGCCATTGAATCTAGGAGGAGCTCTGGGTTTTCTTGTTGACCTCTCTTCCCATCTCCCTGACATGCTGGGGTGTAGGGCAGGGTAAGCAGTATCCCTGCATCCAGGGGGCTTCCTGGAAAGTGAAAGCCTGTGGCTGCCAGCCTGAGGCTTGGCAGTGAATGAGTTAACTGCACTATCAGCGCTACTTTCATCCTCTTATTAAAGGGATCAGCATCCTAATGAGGCAAAGAATGAAAGGAGCCTTGTTCTGTGTCTATTTGCATAGCCAGGCAGGGTAAATGCTCCTGCCCCACTGCTGGGCTGTGCTGCCCGCTGGGATGGTGCTGTGGGATGAGGGCTGCAGGAATTGGCAGCTCAGATTTGGGCTGACTTCTGAGGCACCAAAAGCCAAGCAGACAGGAATACACTGATGGGGAGCCCTGGGTTGTTACAGCAGGTGCTGCCATGGACCCAGAAGCCCATCCAGAGGGGGACAGGAGGGGATGCCTGGCACTCACCTCCTCTGCCTTGTCTGTCGGGGCAATGAACACTATGAACGGAGAGAGCTCGGCCGTGCGGACGATCTTGAGGGTCTGTGGAGAAAGGGCTGCAGTTACCAGAGTGTGGCTGTCCCCCAGGCTGGGATTGGGGTGCAATGGGGGCTTTGGGGACTTGAGCTCACTGGGTGGACTCCTGGAAAAGGGTTCCTGCAACCCACTCCCACAGCAGCCTGGCTGTGGCCTTGGTGTCACAGACAGGTGTGTGCTGTGACAGGAAACACCCTCCCATGTCCTGGGAATGGAAATGCTACCCCAGGCCTAGCTGGCTTTTTCCTTTGGGAGGAGAAGGCAGGGACAGTGACATCCAGGGCCCAGATAACACAATCTGTGGCAGCCCCGTCCAACCTTCCCTTCCCCTGCTCCCTACCTGGGGTTCGATGTCCAAAATAGCGACTTTGTCCTGCTGGTGGATCTTGTGCACTGTTTCAAACTTGGTGCCAAACATGTTTCCCTGGTAGCTTCCGAACTCCAAGAACTCATTGGCTGAGATGTCCCGGGTCATCTCCTCGGTGGAGACAAAGTAATAGTCCTTCCCATCCACCTCATTCTTCTTCTGGGGTCGTGTGGTGTCTGGGGAGGGAGAGAGAGGGTGAGTGCTGGCCCCCAGGAGGAGAGGGGAACAGAGTGGAGCAGGCATCAAGACTAAGCTGTACTAATCCCCTGCTAACTGCTTCCTGCTTTGGACCAGTAGGGACCTGGCCAGCTGGGGACAGGCACTGGATGAAAAGAGTGAGGTGGGAGGTGGGGGCAGCAGCCCTGCAGCCTCTGTGGGTAAAGGTGGGTCCATATGGGACTGCAGGCAGGGAGGCCTTGCACGTGGGGACCTGACTTCAGGGGCTTGGTGGTGCTGGAGAACATCTCCCCACCTCCCACCTGCTGTCAGAAGGTCCTGGATCAAAGAGGTGAGAGGAAATGCATCCTGTGCTGGTACTTACATGGGGGTGGGTACATGAACTTCTCTGGGTTGTTGCTGAGCAGAGCATTCTTGATGTGGCTGCGGCCCACACCACTGGCCCCTGCAGAGAGAGAGAGAGATGGACACTGGAGCTGGGCTCAGAGCAGCCTGGTAGGAGATGCTGGGTCTGACAAAAAGTGCAGAGCATGGCCTGGGCCCTGCCCAAGATGTGCTTTCTGGGCTGGTCTGTGGTGTCTTCCAGCCCTGGTGAGGTTCTTTGTGCCCTGGGGATGCTCATCTCCAGCCCCAGCTGGAGACAGGACTGCTGCCTGCAGAGCAACCAGCCTGGCTGGACTGGATGGGCTGCCCATGCCTGTGGAACCCACCACCAAGCGCTCAGTCCCCACTGTGGGAGTGCTTGCTTTGATGCAACTGCAGAGCTGCTTTTAGTAGAGATTTTCCATGTAGATACTCAGGAGTTGCAAATGCCTGAAGTAACTCTTCCCCAGCATTGCAGCACATGCCAGACTATGCATGCTGCATGGAGGGGGCTCAGTCTGTGCAATGACTGCTGCAGGCTGAAGAAATGCTCCCCAGACCTTACTAGGTCTCAAAGGCCATGCTGCCCCAACCCCTGAGCAGTCCTGGTTCCCTCTGGCTCCCAGCACACAGCCCCTGTGCTGCAGAGGATGCCTGGGACAGGACCTACCAATAAGCACCAGAGTCTTCCTCTTGAAGGCAGGCAGCCTCACCACCTCCTCATAGGAAACGACATCCAGCTGGTCAAAAACTGGGGTGGAGGAGAAACAAGACACGGAGGGGTCAAAACTGGCTTGACCACACCAGCATGTCCCATGTATGTGTCAGAGCAAAGCCAGGACAGAGGACAGCAGTGGTGAGCACTGGGCTGGGAGCTCATCCACGTTTGGCTGCTTGGGAGAAAGAGCAGCACCAACAGCAAGCAGCATGTGAGGGGCAGAGTGGCTGCTGGGGAGCTGCCAAAGAAGCCAGGGCTGCTTTTGCTCAGTAATTCTGCTCAGGACAGTAGGACCTGGCAGCTGGGGTGGAGGCAGCAATATGCTGCAGGGAGCTTTATATATCTGGTGATTTACAGCCTTGTTTGTTGCTGGTTGGAGCTGCAGGCCAGGCCAGGAGCCAGCAGTCCCTGGGCACCCACCTTTGCCAGCTCTTGGCTCAGTTTAGCATGGGGTGCTGCATGGATGGCAGAGGGGCAGTTCCCTGCCCCACCAGGGCCAGGCCTTGGCAGCTGTGGGAGCAGTTCAGGCTGGTCCCTGACTGCTGAGCAGCAGCACTGCCATTGCCTTCCCTGTGTTCAGCAGCCTGTGGGGTTTGAGGATGGGGAGCCTGAGCTCACAGGGATTTTCACCAGGAGAGAGCACAGGAGTCAGCGCTGAGCCAGCCCTGGCCTCGTGCATGGGGACACAGTGCAGGAACATGAAGACTGCAGAAGAGAGTCAAAAAAAGCTGACAGCTGTGGGGTATCCTGAGATTCCAGTGCTGACACAGCTGGGCTGTTTGGTTGACTCCCGTGGAGGACAGACCCAGCCCGGCCCAGAGGCAGGGGCATGGCCAGGGCTGGGGACTGAGCCCACTGCCCTGCTCACACTTACTTGAGCTGTGCTTGGCCAGGTATTTATCTTTGCACTTCTTCTTCTTCCCGAAGGGGCTGCAGCTCGGGGATTCACTCTGGCTGGGCTGGGTGACGCTTGCCACACGCCTGCCAAGAGAGGAGGACACCCCCATGGCCCAGCTGTCACCCCAAGCTGGGACAGGCAAAGGCTCACCCTGCAGCACATGAAGGGGACATTTTCCTCCTTGTCCCAGAAGTGACACTGGTGTTACCCAACACAAACTCCTGATAGCACATGGTTGTTGCTCCTGCCTCCGCTCCCAGATCCAGCCCTTCTGGGCAAATCCAGGGACCTACCACTCCTGCAGCTCTGGAGAAGGGATGAGTCCTGCTGACTCAGTGCAGGAGCCCTCCACCCGGCCCTGCCACCAGTTGCTGTCGTCCTTGTTTATGATCTGAATCACATCACCAATCTGAAACTTCAGTCCTGCTTCCTTGCAGGGGATCAGGTTGTCTTTCTTGGGGTCGTAGTCAAACTGTGCCCTCATGAACATCTGCAAAAGAGAGAGGAGACCAGAGTCAGCAGAGTGGCTGAGCTTGGCCCCCACACTGCATTCCCAAGCAGTGACTGCAGAGAAGGCTCCAGGCACAAAGCCCCTGCTTCTTTCCAGGCCCCACAAGGCTATCTGGGGAGATAGGAGATGCACAAAGCTTAGGAGGAAAGTCTTAGGTGTAGTGAGATGTGGTGGTGAGTGGATGAGGGCATCTTGGCCTTACAGGGAGATGATAACCTCTAGGCACACACACAGCCACAGGGGGTGTTCAAACCCTGCCATGGAGCTCCCTGCAGTGCCCTGGGTGCTGCACAGTGCTGCTGAGTTGGGCCAGCCACAGAGGAGTCCCACCAACACAACTGGGGCACAACTGGGCTCTGCAGTGGGGTGAGCACAGAGGTGATGCTGCAGCAGGGACCCCAGGGAAGGCCATGGCTCAATCTCAGCTGCCCTGTGCTGCCTTTCCCCACAGCTGGGCAATCCCTGCACGGCACAAGGCCTTTGGGGAGCCTAGACTGCAGTGCTGTATCTATCCTTGCCTTGGTCTGACCTGATCCCTTTTACATCTTCCAAAATTCATCACAGCTGCAACGGGAAACGGGCTGCTGCTGTTGCTTCCCAAGCTACTGTGTACCCTCCTGAGGCTGGGGAAGCCCTGGGGACCAAGAAGGTGTGAGAAAGTTTGTTTTCCTTGCCCCTTCTGCTTGCTCAGCTCCTTGGGAGGGAATCTACAGCACCTACTCCCAGCAGGACCTTGTCAGGGCTAGACTGTAAGCAAGGCCAGACAGAGGGTAGAAGATTAGAAGTGAAAAGCAGAGTTAGGGAATGCTGAGCATTAGTCTAGCAAGTTAGTCACCCTAGAAACACAGCATGTAGCAAGGAGGAAAAGAGTTTCACATGGGGTCATGCCTGTCCTGTCCTCAGATGTGACAGGCAGGGCCTGGAAACTCATCCTCCCTCAGTAGGGTAGACCATGCTGTCCTTGTTCCACATTAAAATCATTTCCTTCAGCTATGCTGCTGCAGGCATAGAGCCATCAGAACACAAACATGGTTCCCTTTCATTGCCAGAAAAGACCATATGGATCAAGTTGTGACATGAGAGCACTCACAAAAAAATTAAATTAGGAAAAACAGTAATAGTGGAATCTCCTTTCAGGATGAGGACTGCTGCCTGCTTTGAAAGCACTCCCTGGCACCAGGAAGCTGATCATCCACACAAACACAAGGCATACACAGCAGGCACTGCCCAGGCACCTGCCCACAGCTCTCTGCTCCTGCAGCACTGGTGTCCCAAGCCAGGACATTTTGGCAAGACCCCTCCCCACACCAGTTAGGTGCTGGCATCAGACAGCTCCACACATCACCCCCAGCTGCACAGGGCTCTATGCCTGCCTGCTGCCAGCCCCTCTCTGGGGCCAGACACTCAACTGCTGAGCAGGCTCCAGCATGAGAAGTCCTTTTAAAGTCAAAGGGCTGCAGGGAATATACTGGAAGGGTCCTCAAGAGCCTTGAATGCTCTGTGTTTCCTCTCATCAAGACATTTGCAAGCAGACATTCTCCAAGAGACACTCGGCATCATGAGCCAGGGCAGGGGAATTATCATGCCAGGATCTCCACCATCCTGCCTGCCAGGCACTGAAATAAAGGTGATCATGGGGATCCAGGAGTGGAAACAGTCCACTCTTGGTTGGGGTACTGCAACAAACACAGACACAAGCAGCTGTGGCTCTGAGAAGCAGACAGCACCACTGCCCTGGGCTCAGCAGGAAGGAGTACAACTGTTGCAGGGAAGGAGTTTGTCCCTGCATCTTCCCAGCCTCAGGTGAATGAGCAACTCCATTCTTTTCTTCTGGGATAGATTCTCCCCTGGAATGGAGTTGGCCAACTGGAGCTGGCTGGGTCAGGACAGGGAGGGCAGACTGACAGCAGGGAAGGCCAGACAGGGCCAGTGTTTAATAAACACACATGCAAAGCTGGTTAAGCAGGACTGGGGACAGCATAAACTGAGGAATAAACAGAGCCACCAACACCTTCCACCATATTCAGAATTCCAGCTTCTCTGGGTAAAGAATGATGTGTGCTCCCTCAGCCCACCCCAGCACCATCCAGCCCCCACCCTGTCCCTCTGAACTCCTCTCCCTCCCCTGCCTGTCCATGACAGGGGGCTGCACTAGGGCTGGCTCTAGTCTCTGGCTCTCTGTCCTTGCACAAGGACAAGACAGCAACCCAGCTACCACACCCTGAAGTCATAGAGAACACAGCCCTCCCCACTGTTCTGTTTCAGCCACAGCAGGACTTCAAAGGCAAAGCCATGCAGGTGACACAGGATGGCCCCCTGCCCTGGCAGTGGCAGCAGGTGCAAGGAACCGCCTTCCTTCCCCCCACTGCTTCCTTCCTCCCACGCTGTGCACGGCGGCATCTGCACCGACGTCACCCTTGCTGGGGCTGCTGCACCCGGCGCAGGTGACAGCAGGGACCAGAGCCAGGGACTGCCCCGTCACACACGGCAGTGGCTCTGGAAGAGACCCTCACGTGCTCCCTGCTGTGCACCTGCCACTGCTTTCCCATGCCCCAATACCACGGGTGGCTCAGCCATCCCAGCCCCTTGTTCCTACACACACTTTGGGCGAGAACATCCACACAGGCCCAACATATGGCTGTGTGCAGGGATGTAAGCACAGGACAGGTCCCTCCAGCAGCTCAGACAAGGCAGCCACCCCTTTGCCCTGACACCCCTGGCTGAGCACAACTCTCTTCCCAGCACTGGTCCTGCATGATGTGCTCTGGTCCCACCCTGCCCCACAGCCATGTCCCAGCACTGCCTGCAGGTCCAGAGGCTGCACTTACCTGGAGAGCAGGGAGGCGGCTTTGCTGGTTGGGAATGACTTTTAATGAGACCATCCCCTTGGTTTCTTTCTAGTGAACAAAGGGGAGAAAGAAGAGTTGGAGGAGTGGTGTCTGGAGGCAGCTCAACAGCAGCAACCTGTGCAGGGAGGTGCTGAGTGCCAGGACCTGCACAGGCAGGGCTCTGGGGCATCCCACCGTGCTGTGGTGCTGGGGGACACCACAGCCTGGTCAGAAATAGCTGTGCTTGGCTTTGCCATACCTTGTCCCATTCCCATGGGGGGACACCAGCACCCCCACAAGGGTCTGGGTGTGGGTACTGCTAAGCACCACCAGAATGAACACGGAGACCTGCATCATCTCCGCTCTGGCTGCTCCAGTGAGGAGCCTGGGAGGAGAGGCTGACTCTTCCAGGTCCCCCCTATGTTGGCCCCTTGCTCTGGCCCTCTGGTGAGATTACAGCACAGCACTCTCTTGTCTGCCACAGGCCAGTGCACTGTTGCCCCACACGTATCACAACACCCACATGGTCCTGTGGGACAACCACATGTGGAGGCTTGGAGGGGCCTCCTGGGCCAACCACTCTTCTCAGGAGGCAAAAACAAAGACAAGCTCCTCCTTGGTCCTGCTTTCTGGAGCAGGGACATCTTGTGGGACTTTGGCAAGGCCAAGCCTCCAGCCTTCAGCTGCTGGTGGGGGCTCTCAGCAGCCCACCACCCCCCTCCAACAAAGTGTCATCTGCTGGGCAGAGATCAGGATCGTTAGTGTAGAACCCAAGGCAGCTCTGAGGCCCTGTCCAAAAATGTCTCTGTCAAGGGCCTGACAGAACCATCATGACCTCAGCAGCAGGCAAATGGCACCAAGATGACATGCATGTGTGGCTCAGGTCTGCAAGAGCAGCCCGCCCTGGGCTGGAGCTGCACAGCAGCCTTGGCAAACAGAGGTGGTTTCCAAGCCCCACACAAGATCAGCATCAGTCAGGGACCCAGTCAACAGCCCTCACTGCTGCTCCAGGAGGCCAGAAACAACCAGCAAGCACAGAAGGCTGCATGCAGGATGGTTTCTGCCACACCACACTGCTGTATGTAGGCAGCTGTGTGCTGGCTCTGGTGTGTGGGAGGGGGTGAATGCTCACAGCATGCAGGCCAAAGGGGTCCTCCCCAGGGAACAGCCCTGACACACACAGATACCTACCAGCATCTTCTGCAGCTGGTCAACTGAGTGGTTGCTCGCACTCTGCCCATTGATTTCTATGATCTCATCACCCACGTGAAGGGAGCCTGCCAGCAATGTGAGAAATATGAAAATGCAGAAAAGGGACAAGAGCTGCTCACCAAACCCAACTTACACCATTCCATCAGCCTCCAGGGCCAGGACACTGCACTGTTTGCTTGGCAGTGCTTCTGCAACCACACATGCCACCCAAGCACATGGCAGGAAAGCACAGGGGAATGAATTCTTCCCCCTCCACCCAACACACACACCTAGCTAGTCTGAAGGTCATCAGGCTGCTTTCCACTGGGTGCAAAGCGCTCTGGTCTGGTCAAAGCACCTGCATCAATGTTTCAAAGGTAACTCCAAGTACCTCACCTGAAGCCAATCACAACCTCCTTACACAGCCTTAACACAAGCACTCCTGACTGTGTTTTCAGTTTATATACCCAGGCAGATTACAGCCTCAGATATATTTCTAAAAATCAGGCTCCAGTAATGTTATTGGAATGGCTCCTGTCTTATTTTGGCAGTGGTAAGCACAGACTTCCCACTTGGATCCAAGGCTGGAAAAGCAGCCTCTTCTAAGCAGAGAACATCTCGTATCCACGCCTGCTTGGCAAGACCCAAAACCAGAAAACAGCACCTATTTATTTCTTTTGGCACCTTCTTTTGATCTGCAGAGCCAATCTACAGGATGCCTGCCCCACCTGTGCACTTTAGGAACGGGAAGAGCTTCCCCCACAGTCTCAGGGGTAGGATCCATCTCTTCTTACAGTGACCCCATCACGAGACAGAGACAGATGATCTCCAGTTCCTTTTTGGGAGAGCCCTTCCCCCAACCCTTTTTTTATCCCTAAAGCCTCCAGTGTTTTAACATGACAACCATGCAGAGAGTCCCAAGTTCCTGACACATCCCTAGGGGAGGAACAGGCACAGATGTCCGTGTCACAGGGGAAAGCCAGCAGTGCTGAGGACCTGCATTACTGCTGCATGGGAAGAAACCACCTACAGATGTGCACCTCATGCACCGCTTCTCCAAAGGCCTTGTTACCTTGTCTGTGAATCATGCCCCCATGGAAGATCCTGGCCACCATGCAGCTCTGCTTGTCATTTTGCTTCAGCGTGATCCCCTGGAAGACAGGAAAATCCATGACTGCTTGCTGCAGGGGAGAGCTCTCCTGCCTTCACAAAGTCCTCTCCAGGCCCATGTCCACAGTGGGCTGTGCAGCGGCTGCGGGGGAAGGCCCTGCTAGGCCAACTCGGGCTGCTGCAGCTCCTCTTGGCACAAGTATCATCACCCTTTGTGGGGCTCGCTTCGGGTCCCCAGGCAGAAGGCAGAGTCCAGCACCTTCTTCCCATGGCCAAGGTCTCCAGTGACCTGTTTCCCTCGAGGCCAGCCTGCTGGCACAACTGAAGCTGCCCCTCCACCCCCCAGGTGCCATCCAGCTCTGGGGCCTCGCAAGCTCTCACCATGGGCTCCTCGGTGACCTTCTCGAACTGGACAAGGCGGATCTTGCGCACCTCGCGGCCGCTGCTGTGCGAGGGGCTGCCCAGGGGCGCTGAGCCGTTGGTATAAATGTCCTCAGTCATGGCGTTTGGGGACTGAGTCATGGCCTGTCGGGGCAAAACAGAGACCGCGGTTTAGGGGCTCTGCCTGGCACTGCTGGATCCTGCTCTGCGGCTCAGCTACCCAAACGAGTTAAGGTGCCTGCAGCGGCAGGTGGAGCACACGGGAGGAGAAGACACTAAGGGCAAGAAAAGAAAAGGAGAAGAAGAACCTGAGCCTTGGAGATGTGGATGTGGATCTGTAGTTTTCCAGCTTGGGAAACACAAGAGGTAGGAAAAATTTGGAAAAGCTACAGGTAGAGGAAGCCAACGACTCTTTGCTCTTCTGAAGCGAAGAGTCACAAACACTCCTTATGTGTCACAGCAGCACTTGCCTCACAGGTAGCTTGTTGCAGAGCATTAAGCCCAGGACTTCTTTACCAAGTGAACCAGCTTGGGACTCACCTCTGAGAACTGGAGCCAGGCTTTGCTCTGGCTCATTTTGCAACTTCAACCTTTCCTGACCTACATCAGTGGGCAACTGACATGGTACAGTGCCAACATCCAGGTACTGAAGGCAGTGCTCCCAAGCCAGCCAGAAACATCCCATTCTCCTTCCCAGCTCCTACCTCCACGTCCTTTCATGCTGGCTTGCACTGGGAAGCAAAGCACAGGCTCTCAGTGCTGAGAAAACCTCTGTTCTTGGTTTCCAAGCAAGTGCTGGCACCAGCGCTGACAGAGAGTGCTTTGGGTCCCATACAAAGACCTCCAAACCCATCCTGCTTGGTGAGCTTCTCCCTCACAGCCCAAGAAAGCCTGACACAGTCCTGTTAAATCCCTCAGACACACTGGGCAATGTCTCTACACAGCTCACAAATGCGCCAGTTTGTTCCCAACTGCAGTGGACTTTCCTCAAGCCTCTTCCAAATCAGTGCTGGCCCAGCAAAACCCAGACCAGCTTCAACCTGCAGCGCCACACCAGACTCGTGGCTTTGCTGCCCAGTTTGCAGCCTGCACCCTCCCTCCCAGGAGTGCCTGAGCTGAGAGCCACAGCCAAGCAGGGATTCCTAGCAAGGTCCTCACCAGCGTCAGTCCTGCATCAGTGATGTGGCCATGCCCAGACAGGCAGAGCCAACACCTCTCCCCACCACAGGCTGCCCTGTCAACTGAGCACCAGGGCCAGAGGCTCCATGCCAGGAGCTGGGAAATATCAGCCTGACGCCCCTGCCCCAGCTTGCTCTCACTCGCCCTAGACTCCTGGCCTGGAGCAGAGAAGCTGCAGCCCCACACTGCCAGGTGGGGAGGCAGATCTGGTCAGGCCAGGCCAGGGGAAGGCTTGTGAAGAGCACCTGCTACTGGGCTGCAGCCATGGCACTAAACCACAATAACATGAGCTTTGGTAGGGATGTTCTGGAATGCTGCTGGCTGAGACATTAATCCAGCTCTGTGCAATGGCAGAAAGCGGGGAGGGAGCCAAAGAAAGGGGCAGCAGAGTCAGGACTAACAAGGATAGCAGGAAAGGTGCTGGCAGAGAGGGACAGCGCAGGCACGGTCACTGTCACAGCCCCCAGAAAGGGCACTGTGGGGCTAGGCCAGGGAGAGAAGGGCTCAGGGAGCTGTGTGCCCATGATGTGGTGATTTATTTTTAAGCCAACTACTTCCAGAAGTGCCAACCAAACTCCTCCTCAAAAGGAGACCATGTGGGTTCCAGCTGCCAACAGCTTAAACATGGAGAAGAAGGCTGAATAGCACCAGAACAGCACCCAGACCACGGACTTGCAGGGTGGAAGGAAGGACAACGTGTATCCATCCTCCCAGCCCGGCTTGCCAGCCCACGATGCTACCACACCATTTGCAGTGCAGAGGAACAGATCCAGCAGTGTGCGTGCCTAGAGCTGTCCCACAGCTCTCTGTCAGCTGCCCCCCCCTGCCATACCAGCAGGTGCAAGGAGGAAAAGGAGGACAAGGACCTTCTCCAGCCCAACCTGAGGCCAAAGTGTGGTGGCTGGAGTCAGCACAGATCATACTTATCTTGGTCATGCCTTGGGAAAGTGTTAGACCATGCAGTTCCTGGCTTCAAACCTCTAGGCTCAGCAGAGCTGATGACCCAGGACACAGCACAGTCTGCTCCAGGGACTGGGAGTTTCCATCCTCACCATCCCCATCAGCTGAGCCTCCTGGCACTGACCTTTGCTTTTTGCTGAGACATGGAGAAAACACCCAGCTGTCAATGCTGACACAGCACCAGTGTCACTCTAGTGACTCTGGAGAACAAGGTCTGTCACCAGAGACTGGCTGCTGTGCCTGCAGATGGCCACAAGTCACTTGATGGCAACTCTGAATGCAGAAGGGTCCTCCAAAACCAGAGCCATACTGGGATGGTGTAGGCTTTTTTGCTGATGGCACCGGGCATCCAGTGGATGGGGATGGGAAAATGCCTGATTCATGAGGACAGCCAGGACCCTCGGGGTGGCAGATTCAGCCCCGATGTTGGCACCCAGAAACAGGAGACGTGTGGCTCTCATGCCCCATGCCCACGAGCTGGCTGGCCGGATTGCCTTGCACTCTCCTGGCAGCTGCCACGCTCACGGCTGGCTTGGCCCAGCATAGTCTGTGACCTCAAGAGCCTTTGAGTCACGCCGGTGACTGGCCAGATTGCTCCTCGAGCACTGCTCCACAGGAAACATCTGTGAGTGCTGCTGAGAGCCAGCCTGTGGCCACCAGCCACTGCCAGCTGTGCACAGCCCCGGGCTCTGTCACCACCAGGGCTGTGCTGGGGCACACATGGGGCAAGGAGGCTGGGGGCTGAGCTATGCAGCAGGGGTGCTGGACAGACCAGTACCCAGCAGCCCTGTGTGCCTGGCAGCTGGCTGACAGGGGTGCAAATCCTCCTGCATAAATCCTGCTCTACTGGCAATGCACACAGAGCCACCAGCTCCAAGGGTCAGAGGTGCCCCACAACCCCTTGTCTGCATATCCTGGGGCAGAGGGAAGTATACCCAGTTCCTTGGGCAATGTTTACCAACAGGGAATGTGGTGAGGATTCCAGGACTTGGCATCCTGTCCCCTAGCGGGGTCAGCACTGTCTGCCACAGTTGCTGCTGCTGCTGCTCCACCAGGCTGCAAGGCACGGGCAAATCAAACATTAACTGGGCAGCTTGTTTGCAGGACGCTGAAGCAGCACTTGAGGAAAGCAGCACTACAGTGCAAAGGGCACATTCAGAGATTTGGTTCCTGGGCTCTCCTTGCTGCTCTAAGCAAGGCACTTGAGTATCAGGTAGCTTTGGAAAAACAGAGTTGCCTGGCGAGTGTGTGGAGAAAAGTACTGCTGGTTTTGCCAAGCCGGCCCCCAAAGTAAAGCAGCTTGGATGCAAGAAGGAACCCTGGAGCCAGGTTGCTCTGGGATTGCCCTCTTGGCTGGCAGGAAGACAAGCTCTTCCCACACTGTGAGGAGCAAAATCCCAGCTCCCTCCATGAATCATGACCCCCTCACATTATAATTGCCATATTGCCATGGGTGCATTCAGGGAGGTTGGGGCACTGCTTGGTGCAGAGATGTTCTGACCCAGCAATAAACATCTCCTCCCACCCTCCAGTGCTTCCAGCCTTGCCTCCTTCCCCATCCAGAATCTGTCCATTTCAGTCTCATACAACTTTAAAAATACAGCAATGTGTAAAAAAAGCAAAGTAGCAAAAAACTGAGCTTGGGAGCTGCTTTAAGCAGCAGGCTGGGGCGCTAGAGACACATAGATACTTAGAAGTAATTCATTCTGCCAGGGCCTACTGACTTCTCAAGTCTGCCTGCACAGCCGTAGGAACAATCCCACCTAAAATGACTTCTAGCAATATGATTGAAGTATAAAAACAAGAATCAAACCAACAAACATTTAAACCAAAAAGGATTACATTGCTGACACCAGGAAAAGGCCTAGTAACACCAACAGGTCTCTGTGGGAAGGGGAAAAGAGAAATAGGAAGGATACAAAATGGTGGCAGCCAGAAGGTGCTGCCAGCAATGTGTGCCCTCACACTGACTCCAGATCAGAGTGCTGCAAAGGAGATGGGCCAGATTTTCAAGGGAGCACATTCACTTTTGCTGAGGCACCACCTTCCCACCAGAAAAGGCTGATGCAGCCTTCCAGATGTGCTCATGAAGCTGGTAACCTCCAAGGCACAGCCAGTGAAACCACAACACTGACAGAAGGAGGAGCTGCCCTGCCACTCCATCCCAGCTTCCAGAACAAGCCCTTCAAAACAGCTTTTTCCCTATAGCAGTGAAACAGCTACACAGCAAAATACATTTGAGATTAAAAAGTTGGAACCAGCCCTCCCCACTTCATTAGTCAAAGCCAGAAGTTTTAGCTCAGCTTTCAACTGAGTTTTACCTGGGTTTGATTCAGGTTTTGGTCCCTGGGGACTGTGGCCTCAGTCTGCTTTGGAGCTGCTGCCAGTTGCCAGAAGCAAGTGCAGTGCTCCCTCTGCACCCTCAAGACCAGCTCTCCCCAGAAGTACCCTCCTCTCCTCCACCAAACTCCCAAAGGTCACATTCGTTGCCCATTTTACAGCTGGGGAACTGAGTCACAGATGATAAAGGGACAAGCCCAAGGTTATCCTGCCAACCAGGTGCACAGCTGGAAGTAAAGCCCACACCTTTTTGGTAAATCTGTACTTGTCAGCCAGGAGATACGGCAAAGATATGTATGCACATGGTGAGGTTCAAGAGGAGAGGCCTGGGGTTGTTTTCTAGCAATAACATGGCTTGCACTTGCCATGATTTGCATGTGCTGTCACCACGTGAGGAACACAGGACAGCATTTCCCAGTACATGGCTCTGCCAGAGAAAATGCAGAAGAGAAACCTCCCAGTCACCCTGTTTGACTCCAGACCAGGAGCAGTCAGGCAGACCCAGCACCCTTCCCAAGAAGGGACTTTGCTGCTGGGCAATGTCCTGGCGGCCCATGGAGGGGCCACAGCCACTATGGGCCAGCACCATCTCTGCATGCCCATGACACAGAGACAGGCATCTGTGACTGGCAAGCTCAGGACACTGCTGGAAGCCAGCCCTACAGAGCTCCTTTTAAAAGGCCTCATGTAGATCTCACTTCACCATCTCTCTCTTTATCCCTACTGAAATAAAGTCACCATAGCACTAGGAAGCTGTAGGGCAGCTCCTACACTTTGCACGCTCTGCTGTGACTGGCAATTGATCCTTGCTCTGTTCGCAGCCAGGCAGGCCCTCTGCCTGGATCTGGCAGGCAGAGGGATGAGAGAGCTCCTTTCAGCAGTTGCTTGGTTCAGACACTTTGCTTAAATTATTTTTTTCCTACTGTTTTTCTCAAAGCACCCTGACAGGGTTAAACCATGAAAAACAGATGAGCCAGTGATGTGAGACAGATCTGACAAGCCTCTTTTACATATTTAAATGTCCAACACCATGGGCCAAGGACAGCACTTCAGGGAAATTTCCTCCCTGCTCTCTCTCAGAGGCTCCCCATAATTGCAAGGAAACCTTAGGCCAGCCACATTTTACCATGGCGTCACCAAGGATGCCTTTTCAAAGCTGGAAATCTCTGACAGGAGAAAAGCACCAGCTGTTTAACACTGGCAACTGCCGACCTTCTGGTTGCACCCAAGCCACTCCAAACAACACTAAGTGAGGAAGGAGCCCACCCAGCAGAACGGAGAGGGCTGGTGCAGCCTGCTCTCCTTCTGCTGGAGGTGGGGTGCATGCGGCCATCGGCTGACTGACTCCCTGTCCCGGAGCTGGCATGAGAAGGGCTGCTCGCAGTCTCCTTCCCGGGGAAGAGACCCCCACCCTCCTCCAGCCCATGCCGCGGACCCGGAGGTTGCTCAGCAGCTGAATCAGCTCATGTGACCGGCAGTTCCAGTTCAGACCAGCTACAACTTTGCAGCAAAACAAGCACAATCGCTCCGCCGCAGGATGCTGGAGCCTTGCTCCCTGCACCCAGCTCCTTGTGCCCTGCCGGCTATGCTGGCTGAGCATTCCCCGGAGGCACCCGCGTCCCCACGAGCATCCCTGTCCCGGGGTGCTGGGCCCAGGGCACGCAGCTGGATGTCTGCCTGGGGGACCCTGCTCAGCCCTGCGTGTGCGGGCGGGCGGGATGGAGCGGCACCGCCGGGGACCCGCGCCGGGCCTGAGCCGGCCGCGCAGCGCTGGGCTAAGGGCCCGCAGGACAGCCGGGGCTCCCTGCCGGGGCTCCCTGCCGGGGCTCGGCGGGGACGGGGACAGGGCCGGGAGCGGGGCGCAGGGCGGGGTGTGGGGGCACAGCGGGCCGCTCACCTCGGGCTTGGGCCGGTTCTGCAGGAGGTGCTCCAGGTAGAGGTCGGAGAGCGCCGTCCTCATGCTGCCGCCGCCGGAGCTGCGCCCCGACTTGAGGGTCATGCCGGCGGCAGCTGCGGCCGGTCCCGCTGGCCCCGGCAGCGCTGAGCGGCCCGGCCCGGCTGCGGCGGCGCCGCGGGCTCCGGCACGCTCCGCCCGAGTGCGGCGGGGCCGGCGGGGCCGGGCGGGGCCGGGCGGCGGGGGCGGGCCGAGCACGGGCCCGGGGCTCGGCGGGGCCGCCCGGCGGCAGCGGGCAGAGCGGCCGGGCCGCAGGAGCCGGGCTGGGAGGGTCGCGCTGGGTGTCCCCGCCGCCGCTCGGCTTTTCCCCCGCGGGAGTGCCCCCATCGCCTCAGCGCTGCGCCAGCCTCTCGCCCGTGCCTGCCCCTGGCCGTGCCCAAGCATTCAGGTCACAGAGCGCACCCGAGCTACCCCAAACGGACCGCGAGGGTCATCGCGGCCAGCTCGGGGCCCTGCACAGGGCAGCCCGAGCATCCCACCCTGTGCCCCGGAGCACTGTCCAGCCCGAGCATCCCACCCTGTGCCCCGGAGCACTGTCCAGCCCGAGCATCCCACCCTGTGCCCCGGAGCACTGTCCAGCCCGAGCATCCCACCCTGTGCCCCGGAGTGTGTCCAGCCCGAGCATCCCACCCTGTGCCCGGAGCATGTCCAGCCCGAGCATCCCACCCTGTGCCCCGGAGTGTGTCCAGCCCGAGCATCCCACCCTGTGCCCGGAGCATGTCCAGCCCGAGCATCCCACCCTGTGCCCGGAGCGTGTCCAGCCCGAGCATCCCACCCTGTGCCCGGAGCGTGTCCAGCGCTCCGTGAGCTCTGGCAGGCTGCTGCTGTGACCACTGCCCTGGGGAGCTGTGCAGTGCCCGGCCACCCTCTGGGGGAAGAGCCTGTCCCTAATCTGCACCTAAACCTCCCCTGACACAACTTCAGCCGTTCCCTCGGGTCGAGGGAGTCACCACAGAGAAGGGATCAGGGTCTGCCCCTTCTCATGAACAAGTTGTAACTGCAATGAGATCTGTGCTCAGTCTCTTCTCCAGGCGGACAGACCAAGTGACCTCAACTGTTCCTTGCAAGGCTTCCTCTCAAGGCTCTTCACCATTTTCATTTCTGTCATTTGGACACTCTGGGCAAGGACCCAGCAAGGACACAGGGAGCACCTCTCCAAAGTGGCCTTGGTGCATAACTGGCTCTCACAAACCAATGGTCATTCCTGGCTTCCTGCCAGTGTGCCGAGCTCCAGAGTACCTTTCTCTACATTCTAGCAAGGTCAGCCCTCTTCTTGAGCTGTTCTGGGTCTTCCACCTCCTTCAACTTGCATGGGTGGGATGGCAAATCCCTGCATTTGTGAGCTATGCATGGTGCGAAGGGCTTCTGTCAAACCATTTCTGCTCTTACTGTAGGTCTTACTGTTGAGAGGGTCCAAGTGAAATCTGAGCTTTATTTGGGAATGGAAAGGCAATTCTGCTGTATTATTCTTTAAGAAAACACTGAAAGGGTTTTTCACACCAACCCTGGGATCCTGGAGGTTTAGATGTTGCCTTGTACCAGACTCCCACATTGTTGCTAGATGAGTTCTCCAGGGTGAATTGTTCTAAAGTTACCATAAGAAATACAAGGAGAAGAAAGAAGGATGCAAACTCCTAGAGAAAGGAAACAGGAAAATGGGGGGGGGGGGGGGCAGAAGAAATGGGGTGGAGGGAGGCAGAGAAAGAAGGAAAATCCATCTTGTTCTGACAGCAACTTTCTCCTGCCTCGTAGGAACAAATCTGTCCCTGACTGGGCTACAAGAAAGCCCAGAATGCTGTGAGATGCACGGAAAAGGAGGTGTGGGAGCTGCAGGCACTGGTGTGACTGACTCCAGCAAACTGATCTAACACTACCAGGAGCAAAGAGTCCCAAAGCACAGCCTGGACTGGGAGTGCTCTTCCCAACAGTCCCATTCCTATGGCAGCTGTTGCGCACTTTTGTGGGATCACCTGCCTGGAGTCCTGCATCATCCAGATGTAGCTCTCCTTCTTGCCCTATCCTCAGCCTCACACTGCCCATCTGGGACCCTGGGCTTTGTTGAAGGAATTATCCCGTCTGCCAGGATTTATGCCACCATCAACAGGGCATGGGCCTGCTTGAAGAACATAAGTTGCCAATCCACTGAGTAAATGGGTTGTTTATTTATCTCACATATAGAACAGCTTGAGCCAGGTACCTCCAAAGAGGAACCCCAATTGAAGAAATCTTTGGACAATTACATCCTTACAATATAAGTTCCCCACCCCTCACATGACAGTTCTGACCACTAGTAATATTAGGATCTGGGGTATTCCTGTTCTTTATTGGGTCCCCTCACTGCCTCTAGGTGGGTTGTTCCTTCTCTTATCTCTAAGACTGCTGTGTCAGCTGACATAATGATGGTAATAGCATCCCCTGCTTCCTTATCTTCCAGCTCAAACCAGCTCTGGGGCACCCTCTTACTTAACTTGGTAAAAGTTCAGCCTATCTGGGTGGAAATTCACAAATTGTGGTGTAAGACTTCATCAAATTTAGCTCCTGATGCTAAGCAAGTTCTCTGTACTAAGCACATAACAGGGTTGCAGTGTTAGTAGGAGATTAAGGGAGTCAATACCAGGAGCAGAAGTAAGACAGCTAAGAGCTAAGTGGGCCATGTTTTGTAGCTGCACCTGGTGGAACCTGTGGCCCAGACTTTGTCTGCAAGGTTCCCTGGACAGCCTGATTAGGATTAGAAAATAATGAACTAGAAAAGTCAAAGGGTGCCTGGCTGCCTTCAGCCCCAACAGATGTGCCCACCAGGCTGGAGAATGCTGCTGGGAGCCTCATCTTCCCATCCCTGCCCAGCTGACCAAGAAGGGTCTGCAGAGCATTCCTTACCTAGCAGCTGAAACGGCCAGCAAGGAGGAGGGGGAGGTGAACACACACTGGAGTTGGTGGGGCATGGCTTTGAGATGTGCTGGACGTAGGACCTCTCGGTGCAGGGCTTCTCTTGCACTCATGGGCTAGAAACAGGCTGGTAGAAATGTGGAGTAGGAGGCAAGAGATACAGAGAGCAGAGACAAGCCCTGAAGTTAATAATGGAATGTGTTGTAGGAGGGGAAAATGTGACAAGAGACACCTGACAGACAGAAAAACGGTATCTAAGTCTGTTCATTCCCTCTTGGTTGCATATGGGAAAACTGAGATGGAGGAGGTAGTGAGCAGCTTGGCTGTAGCTCCTTGGCTGAGCTTGCATTTAAGCTGTGATTACCCAAATTCTGCTTTGGTCCCCATTGCCCATGGTCCCTGCTCAGGTGCTCTCTTCAGCCTGATACTGCCTGTTTCTGTTATGTGCTGGCAAATTTTCAGAGAATGGTGCCCACCTGCACAGCTGCAATAGCTGCAAACACTCCCCACATCTGACTGCGGTGGGGGAGCACACTGAGAGCTCTCCACCCAGCATGAGGGAAGGGAGATTCGGAAACCTCCCTGGCCCATGGCTTATCTGGCTGGGGCTCAGCACTGAAACCACACACATTTTGGCTTGCCAATTAATCTCTGCTTGAGCTTAATAGAGACAGCCAAGATGTGTTTTTTCTTCCCGGAGACACCAGAAACTCTGTGAGCACCAGATCACCCAGCCCAGCAACCCTGGCAGCTGAGCCATGAAAGACAAAAGATCCCTGGGGTCCAGGAGGATTCAGCCAGGCAGCCCGTGCTGCAGCAGGGCTCTTTGCAGGCAGGGCATCTCCTGGCTGAAAGGCAGAGAGCTTCATGCTGGTCAAGACCTTCCCCTGTACAGAAACGTCTGTGGCTGGGGGAGGATGTGATGCCTTTCAGATCTGCGTCGTGCTGTGAGGAAACAGCGTCTGGTCTCCATTCCTCACAAGATAAATGTCAAGACATGCTTCCAGTAATGGATGCCAGAACTTGGCAGGCTCAGGCACATCTGCCTGCCTGCCCACTACTGCTCCTGCTCAGAAAGTCCCTTCCCTGCTGCCTGGCTGGCTGGAGAACATCCTGGAACTGCTCAGGGCTGGTGGATGGAGGCTGCTGGGATGCCTGCAAAGATTTCAGCTGTGCTTCCTCTTTGAAAATAAGCCAGAGTGGGCTCTGGTGCACAGAACTGTTGCTCTGAGCTAACCCTGTGTCATCAGACAAATGTGCCACAACATGGCAGCCTCTTTCTGGAGGGAAAATGAGCCTGAGCATCCACTGGTAGAGACCCTGAAGGGTATTTATGCTTCAGCTGGGCTGAAGCACAGGAGAGATGGAGTTGCCTTGGAGCTGAGGAAGGATGCCTTGAGAAGGCCCTGAGGTGGCAGGGTTTGTCCTCCCAGGCTGAGGGCTACTCTGCCTCAGGCAGGGGTGTTCCCTTTGAGAAGCTCATGACTCCTATCTCTCTTCAGGCCCGGTGCTTGCCAGGCAGCCTCTCCTCACCTCTGTGCCTGGTTATTGTCGGAATGCAATTGAGCCAAAGGGTGATTGCATCTCCTGCTTGGGCTGTAATGTAATCACTGCCAGGCCACAGCAAAGGCTCCCTGTATAGCAGAGTGGAACGTGGCAGACTTTCAAGCTGTTATTTGAAACACCAGTTTCTGATCCCCCCTGGGCGTGGGTTCCAGACAGATCACACCACTGGGGTGGTCTGCAGCACATCTGCTTCCTTCAGACACAGGCCATGGAGGGGAGATCTCTGTGCACCACACAGCCCGGTACAGGTGATGGAGGCAGGAACTGGGTGCCTCAGAGCAGCTATCCCTCACACGACCACCCTGCTCATGGCCCTGCTGTCCCCACCACAGCTGTCCCCTGGGCTGCTGGCAGAGCTGTTCTCGGACCTGCTGCAGGCTGTGTCTCAGAGGTGTGAGCAGAGACTGTCTGACTGATGGGGCACCCTGGAAGTTCACCAGGCAATCACTGGATGTTGCTGGACTGCTGCAGCCATCCTGCCTATCCCACTGTGACAGCACCCAGCTGACTCCTGCCATTCTCCAAAGCCCCCTCATAACCCTGTTTTCCCTGCTACACCAGCTGCCAGGGGCTTTGTGGGGCCACCCAGCTGCCCCATCACAGATGGAGGACTCACTGCAGTGGGGGTGGCATGGCACAGGCTCTGGCAAGCTGCTGAAGGAGAAGTGCTGCCCAACAAGGATGACCCAAGGTCTTCCCACAGCCCTCCAGGTGCTC